ATTACTAACCTGGGAACACCTCGTTCTTTTTCTGCTGCGTTATTAACATAAAAAGCAGTACACGACCATGGTGACTTGGAAGGCTTTATCAAACCTTTTTGTAATAAATTATCAATTTCTTTTTTGCAGAATTCAACTAGTTCGGTATTCATCTGATAGGGATTTGATTTGGTAGGGATATTTTCCTCAGAGAAATCATCTTCATATGGAAGAGTTACAATATGCTTTTTTCGATTCCAAAAAGCACTAGGATGATCAACACAAATATCAATGGCCATTTTTTCAGAAATGAGCTTAATCTTTTCCTGTACTTTATCAGATTTTAAAGTATCGAATATATTCATACTAAATATCTCAAGTTGTAAATAATCAACATGTTTTTGTTTCATTTTAATTAGAGCATTAATATCTCTAGAAATAGGCTCGGTGATAAAAAGTATAATTAATATCTTGATTTTTATAAGTAGCAGAAAATCCTTTAGCATTTATTTTGGTAAAAGGATAAATTGCATTTATAAAAGGAGTTCCTAGAATAATAGGAGGGTATAACTGATATTTTACTAGGAAAAATAAGTGAGGAATACAAACTTTATTCTGGCAAATACGAGTATTAGATAATTTATACTTTATATCTAAAGCATGACCAGATGCAGATTTAACCATATGAGTTGTTTTCTCAAAATATTTAGTAGGTACTAGACCTTCTTGAATGCAACTCACATTAGCGCCACTATCAATCATAGCAATGTTAGTTATAGAAAAAGTATTATCAATTAATATAGTACATTTAACATACCATTTATGAGCTGTAACAATTTGCATCATTCCTAAAAACATATTTTGTTTCGGATCAATATTCAAAGTGTTGGCAAGAGTATTTTCTTCAGCAGTAGATTCATCAACCTTTATTTTTCCTTTGCTATTAGCAGACTCAATCTGAGTAAGACGGTGATCACAAATAATATGATTTTGTTTAAGAAATTTAATTTCTTCCTTTAAATGTTCAATTTCTCCTTTTAAATCATCAAAAGAGGTATCACGAATAACCATGGTTGTTTAGAAGAGAGTCTATTATGAACTTCAGACAAGGAGTAACGAGCAGAATAATTAAACTCATCTTTAACCTTTTTATCATTAGGAATATTAGATGAAGAGCTAGTTTTACCAGCAGCCAATTGAATGATCTTTTCACGAAGAGTATTATCGGTTACTTATTTTAGAAGTTCTATCACATTGTCTGCAGTGATAGTGAACATATTCAGGTCTTCGAACTGAGATTGCAGCTTGTAGAATTCATCATGTTCGCAGTGACAACTATCACCATGACATTTGCAAGCATCATTCGAATCTTGTTGAACCTTACTAGATGACTCAGGTTGCTCATCCTCTGTTGCATAACTTGCTTCAGAATCATTATAATCTGATTCGGAACCAGAAGTATATAGAAAACTATAAATCTTCTCTTGAATATCATCATCAAGTTTTAGAGTCTTAAGCTTTTCTAGCTTACAATTTGGAGCTATATGCCCAAATTTTCCACATTTGTAACACTTAATCTTATCAAGATTTGTGAGACTATTATTTTTATGGATCAATAAAAGTATGTATTAGCTGGTTCTGAATTATTATTATTATTAATTATTATAGTAGTAGTAGTAATAGGTATTGTAGTATGGCTTTAAGTATAGTTAACTTAGGACTCTACAATTTTCTCCCTATATAAGGAGTATGTACTTAACAATTTTTATCATCAATACAATCCTTGATTTCTCTAATCCTAGACGTGAGATTTCTACATGGTATCAGAGCTTAAAGATTTTCCGCTCTTTGAGTATTGATAAAAAAAAACCTACACGTTAAATTGCAATGGACCCTTCTACCAATACTATGTCGACCTCCTCACTTCACCAACTCATTGCCGCTTGCTCCATTAAACATATGCTAACAAACTACCTCATATGGAGGACACAAATATCCCATTTGATTCAGTGATGAAACTAACTATCTCATCACATAGAATGAGCCAAGTAAAAGTAGTTGTTCCATTGGAAAGACTGCTGGGAAAGTTGTAGCGGTTGAGAAGGATGCAAAAGATAGTGGCACCATTGATGATTGGAAGGAGATAGATGTGTTGCTAAGGAGTTAGATCTCAGGCACTTTGACCAAAGAAGCATGTACCTGATTGTGGGCTGCTCAACTGCCAAGGAAATGTGGGAATGCTTGGAAGAAACTTATCTTCAAGTAACAAAAGATAAAAAGTTTCAGCTTAAATAACAACTACAAAGTGTTAGGCTAGGAACCAAAAAGATTGATGAATACATCAAGGAATTTAAAGGCATATGTGATGGCCTTGTAGTCATTCACAAACCTGTGGATGAAGATAGCAAAGTAATTAACTCTGCTAGAGGTTTAGGTCTCAAACACAAGACTTTCAGGACTGTCATGTTAGGTAAGGCACCATATCCCACCCTTAATCAATTTGTTAATGTTCTCACGGGTTTTGATATAAGGGAAGATGAAGAAGAGGTGCCACAACAAAATCATAACATGGTATTCTCTGCCCAAAGAGGTAGGGGAAGAGGAAACAACAACATCAACTCCAACATCAACTCCAGAGAAAGAGAAAGAGGCAAGCCTGCTGGACAGAGTTCTCAGAATAGTCAATGGACCAGGTTTTTCGAACAATCAAAGTTTCCCAAGTGGAAATAAGGAGAGGATCAATACTGAGTCATGTCAAATATGTGGTAGGAATAATTATACTACTCTTAAGTGTTTTTACTAGTGGAATCACTCGTATCAATATATAGATGAACAATCACAAGCAACGATTTGACATCACATTCATATCGAAGCATTGACAATACAAGTTTTTGTTGGGTATTCGAAGCAAGCTAGGAGTAACTGTTCGTCTACTCTCTAGCATGAGGGAAAGTGTTAAAGATGAAGGAAGCTGATAATTGAAACATGTCAACGGAACAGTTCCAACGAAGCTGACTGACATGTTTACAACACACGTATTTATAGCAGTGTTGTAGAGTTAGAATCACACTAGGATTAGACTACTTATATCGATTAGGAATATATTACGACTCAGATTAGATTACGATTAGGATTATAGTACAACTAGGATTAAATTATTTATTATTATTATTATTATTATTATTATAGTAGTAGTAGTAGTAATAGGTATTGTAGTAGGACTCTAAGTATATTTAACTTAGGACTCTACAATTCTCTCCCTATATAAGGAGTATGTACTTAACAATTTTTATCATCAATACATCCTTGATTTCTCTAATCCTAGACGTGAAATTTCTACAAAATTATGATATAAATCATATAAAATGAAAATAATGTTGGAGTTTTATTTGAACTTGCCATTTGAAATTTTTGAGTTGTATTTTTTGCTCATAAACATAAAACCTACATAAGTTGTGAAAACTATCAAAATTGTCTCATATCTCTATACAATACAATTTTATCAAATAAATAAAAGTTTATAATAAAAACATAATACACTATTGTAAAGTTATTCTAAAATATATAACATTTATGGATTGAATTTAAGTTCAAGAAAAAAGTAAAATTGAACGTTAGTTGTAGTGTACTACTTTTTAATAAAATTGATCATGTATTTTTTGCTCAAAAACTTAAAATCTACAGAAGTTGTGAAAACTATCAAAATTATCTCAATTCTCTATACAATTCTATCAAACAAAAAACAAAAATTATAACATAAATATTATACACTATCACAAAGTTATTCTAAAAAAGAATACAACATTTATTGATTGAATTTTAGTTCAATAAAAAGGTAAAATTGAACGTGAGTTGTAGTGTACTGCTTTTAATAAAATTGAACATGGTTAATATTATTAGTGATTATACTATCACTTCCTCCGTCTCATATTAGTTGATCACTTTTCTTTTTACACACATATTAAGAAATCATAAGTAAGAAGATAATTTTACTAATTCACCCATTTAAAAACTTTTTGAGAATTTTACAAACAAATGTGAAAACTTTCAAAAGGAATTAATTGTAAATGTATTATAGGAAAGATTTAATTAATGTTTTCTTAATTTAGTAAGATGATCAACTAATATGGAATAATTATTTTCAATAAGATGATCAATTAATATGGGACAAAGGGATTAGTTATTTAGAAAAGAGGAAATTTCGCAAATAACCACAAAAAATAACTTAATTAGGTTTCACCAACATGAGTTGTGGTGCACTGGTGAGAATGCTTCACCCTTAACCAGAGGTCTCAGGTTCGAGCCTTTGGGTATGAAGAAAATCTTGTTGGGAGCACCACCCCCGAATGGGCCCTGCAGAGCGCGATTCGGATTAAGTCGGGGCAACAATGTGGGCTCCGAACACCGGGTGGGAAACCAAAAAAAAAAACTTAATTAGGTTTCATAACTATAGTTTGTTAATTATGATTCCTAGCTACATGTCAGAGGTAGGAGAGAGGCGAGCGAGATTGGGAGAGGGAGGAGAGAGGTGAGTGAATTTTTATGGTATCACTAAGATTTTTTGTTCAGAGATTACTTATTAGTCAATGATACTAATTAGTAAGATTTCTTTGTCAATATCGCTCACTTCTCTTCTCCCTTTCTCGATCTCGTTCGCCTATCCACAAAAAAAATACAAAGATTTTTAAAAAGGGAAAAAAGATAAATATATCCCTGAACTATCGTAAAAATATGACGGAGGATATCTGCATACTATTTACGATAATTCGAGGTATATTTGTCATTTTTTCCCTTTTAAAAATAAGAAAAAGGGTTTGTAGATTGAAGAGCGGCCCACCAATCGAGAATAGAAAGGGCCCAAATTTCAAGACAGAGGTTGTGTGTAAAACCCGTCATTGACTTTGCTCTACTATTTTATTCCTCTATTACAAAGTCATTTTTGTGTATCTATAGTTTGGTGTACCTACCAATACCATTACCAAACCCAAAATCCCATTACAACAAGTGTTGTAGGCACGGCACGCAAAGGGAAAGAAGGCAAAGAACAAGAAAGCAAGCATGGCTGCTTCATTAGAAGATGTTCCTTCAGAAAGCCTCATGTCTGAAGTTCTCCGCCGTCTGAGATGTTCTTCTAAGCCTGACAAACGACTCATTCTCATAGGTACTTCTTCAATTCAACTTTTCAATACTCTAATTCGTTTACTGTTATCAAATGGATCCGCTTCGCCTCTTTCAGTATAGCATATATATTTGTGATTTTTCTTTCTAAGCTAAGAATCAGTCAGAATGATGAACAATTGTTGATATTTTGTGGGATTGGACTAGTTACATATGATTTTTAATTTGACTTAAATATTACATTTGTGATAGTTGAAAAATATATATATTATAGTAATGGTTGAATGTAAGTTTGATTTAGAAAATACTGCATTAAAGTTAAAATTTGAATGTTTGAAGGTGTGAAAGTTGCATAGAAATTGAAAAGTGTTGGACATCAAGTGGAAAGATTTCCGGGTTAGTTGGAACAGAGGGAGTATTTAGTATTGAAATGAAATCGATATGAATAGAGTATGAAGGGATACATAGGATTTGTAACGAAGGATTCAACCTAATTTGTGATTATACTTGCTTGATGGGGACTTTAAACTGTATCTTATTGAATGTGCCAGAGTATTTTAGCTGGATGAATTTGGTAATGCAGTGTACAAATGAATAAAGCTACATCTTTTAAAATAAAATTGAGTAAAGACTGTAGAGTATGAAGAAAGCTTCCATTTTGAGTTTCTTGTTTTCACACCACCGACCCCAACTAGTTTAGAAAGTTTAGAATTGACGCATTGGTGTTTTATGCGTCTAACACTACTTGGTACCTAGCAAAGGATAGATCAGATCATTGCGATGAACCGATGCAAAACGAGGAGTTATTGCGTCATGGGTGATTCAGAAAAGTGTGCACGTCAAACAATATGTGCAAAGTGATTTAAATGAGAATCTGTTGGTTCTTTGAATCTCAACTTTGAATAGTTTGGATTGTTATTGTATATTGGAGGTTGAAATTAGTTTTTTAATTTTGCAATTTGATTGTTATATTACTAAAATTCATATACTTTTGGTATTATTTTATTTTTTGTAAATTGAGTGCTTCATTTCTCACCTGAAGTCCTGAACTCCATGGACCTTGTTGTTTTTATGCACTTTTTGCTGTTGAAAACACTGATATTTACAGCTTGCGTTGATATCCAAATGGGCAGCAGAAACTTGTTTTTGTTGAAAAGTTAGCTTCAATCCGTTTAAAGCAACTATATTTGTTAATTTTGTGCTTTTATTAGCACAAATGGGAAGTTCTATAAATGCAGCTACTGTATTAAAATGCAAGATCAAGAACAAGAGTTGTTTTTTGACTTATACTTTCACAATCTTGCGCAAAATGTTTCATAATATGTATCTCATGTAATATTCTCCTTGCAAATCATTGATGTTGTTGACAAAGTGTTCCCCTGGCTTCTTTGACATTGCTATGTTGCCAGTTCTCGGTTCAAATTTTCATGATATCTACTCCTTCAGGGAGTTCTACATTGATACTGAATGAAAAAATATTGTTATCAATTGTGGTGATGAAGTGATTTGTGAAGTTCAAAGCTAGTGCTAACAATGTGAAACTAATGGCAGGTCCACCGGGATCCGGAAAAGGTACACAATCTCCTATCATAAAGGATGAATACTGCTTGTGCCATTTGGCCACCGGTGATATGCTCAGAGCTGCTGTTGCTGCTAAAACTCCACTCGGGATTAAGGCCAAGGAGTCTATGAACAATGTAAGTGGCAGACAGTTTTTGGGGATGGGCAACAAACTTCGTAATGTTATTTCAAGTGCTTTTTCTCTTTTTGGTGAATGATGTCCTTTTTGGGTGATTTTTACAGGGTGAACTTGTGTCTGATGACTTAGTTGTTGGTATAATTGATGAAGCAATGAAGAAAACTTCATGTCAAAAAGGCTTCATTCTTGATGGTTTCCCAAGGACAGTGGTTCAAGCAGAAAAGGTTGTCCAAAACTATGAAAATTTTGCATCGTGACTTCTCATCCTATTAGTGGTCTTACTTTTAATTGTGACGTGATACAGCTAGATGAGATGCTTCAGAAGCAGGGGGCCAAGATTGATAAGGTGCTCAATTTTGCAATTGATGATGCAATCTTGGAAGAGCGGATCACAGGCCGGTGGATTCACCCTTCAAGTGGTAGATCTTATCACACCAAATTCCAACCCCCAAAAGTTCCTGGCGTCGATGATGTAAGTTTGCTAAGTTGCCATTAGTTTTACGGATTGTCTTCTGTGTGAATGGCAAAGTATGGTTGTCATACCTCTAGTGGCTGTAGTTTCTTTATCGCTTTACATACATTTGCTGAAAACAAATTATCCTTATTGGTAATTAACATTGACCTCTCTATTGTTTCTAAACTGCGGAGAAATTTTCTGGGAGTTCAGCTTCCTAAACCAGAAAGTGGTGGTAATTAACTACCATTTTCCTTATTTAGTTTCTAAAAATAATATTTGGGGAGTTTAGGCGCGTTATTATGAGTCTCCCAATTTTATTTACTTGCTTAGGAAGTTCTTTCTCAAGACACCTTTAACTTGTTCAATAATTAGCTGAAGGACGGTAGTTTCTGACCCTTAAAGTTTTCCAACGAAGTACCTGGTAAGATGGCTTAGTTTGGCTTAAAACTAGTTGTTGGTCTTATTCTTACGTTTCCAACGAGATCAGTGTTGTAAAAGCCATTGCTTGGTCGTGTAAACTGTTAAGTAATGAAGCAATGCAAAGGGAGGGGTTATCGCTTTCTGGGTGAAGCCATGCGGTTCAGAGAAATGGGTGCTTCAAAACATTGACACACATAGGTACTTTACATTTATAAAAAAAAAATGAGACACATAAGGGTCGTTTGGTAAGGATACATTAGAGAAAATAATGCATGCATTCGTTTTGTATATTACCAACACCTTGTTTGGTACACTTTTTCAACCTATGTATGACTAATAGAAGCATTATACACTCTATTTGGTATTATGTTATGCTATGCTATGCTGTTTGGGTTCTCCAAAAAGGATGCCGCTCCGTGTCGGATCCTTCGAAAATGAACTACTTTTCAAGGATCCGACATGTACTTGTTGATATTTTTGAAAAGTCTGATCAACAAAATTGCTATGTATAACTAATAATGAAAAACTATGGTATTAGCAATGCAAGAGTTTTTAATGCATGCATTAGAAGGGTTAAAGACTCAATTGCCCCTCAAAATCATTTCCACATCCTCTCCATGATATTTGTGGAGGATATTTTTGTAAACAAATAGTTTGTTTTAGTAATTATGCAATATATGTTATTTTTAATACACCAAACCAAACAATGCATTAACAGTGTTCTTAGCATAACAAATGTCAGTATTATTGATACACCCTATTTAGCACTATTCTTATACACCCTACCAAACAACCTCACAAAAGAGAAGCTGTCAATTTTTTGTATCTCAACTCTCAGAGGTTAGGACTGATGTTGGCATAAGTCATAACTATAAATTTGATGCTGAAATTAGTAATTTTAATTGCAATTTGATTATTATATTATTAACTTAATATGTGATGGATATATTTTTATTTTCCGTAAATTGTGCGCTTTATGTCAAAGAAGCTTTGTGCTTACTTCTGGCTATTTGTTACAAGTATAAACCTCGTCGCTTTTTGGTGCTTTTCGCTTTTAGAAACATTGCCAACAATTAACCATTTCCGTTTCAAGAGCTCGATTTCTCAAAACAAACAAAATGGAAACAAAAGATGTTGAGACGGTCTCAAGCCTTCAGTTATGTTGCATGGGCACAGATATGTATGTAATGGACAAATTGCGTACAGCCGATATCCTTTGCCAGTGTATATGGATATATTAACGATTTGGAGTTCATAAATTCAAACTAACATAGAGCAACCTAGTCACAGTAAAGGAAAAATAATCATCAAAATCAATTCCGAATCTCAAATTTTAATCCGGGACCCGTCGTTCTTTAGTATTTCCTGTGAAGAAACAGTAGTGTATTTGAATTCATGTTGTAGCTAAAGATGATCAATGATATTAGTTATTCGAAAATATCATTGAGCGGTTTACTGATGTATCGTTCTGCATGCAGGTCACTGGAGAGCCTTTAATTCAACGGAAAGATGATACTGCTGAGGTTCTCAAATCAAGGCTAGACGCATTTCACCGTCAAACTGAGCCGGTTTGTATTTACAGTTCATTCTTACTTTCTCTAAGTATTATAACTTGTATGTTTTATACTTTACCATAAGGATGTTCAGGATTTTAAAATTCGTTTTTAACTGTGAAGAAAAATTATCTAGTTCTTATTTCTAGACAAACAATTACTTCTGATATCCTCGGCAGTAGGATAACTATTCTGATTAAGATGTGTTATTTGAGTGCGCTTAAAGTGTCTATTGAAACAAAGATGTAGAATTACTTGACCGTGAAATAGTGGATTAACAATTGTGGCAGTTAACCGAGTAGCAATAGACGCACAAGTATCTTACGATAACCTATCCATTTGAGTATGAAAAACTTTGTTATATGAGCTACTATCAGCATTTTATGATATGACGGATAAATGTTTCTACTAATATCTGCGTTATGCGTGCAAAAGGAAGTCAAGTTTATGCATGACCTTTTAAAATTGTTTGATAATGCAGGTAATCAATTATTATTCCACCAAAGGTGTTGTTGCAAGCCTTCATGCTGAGAAACCACCAAAGGAAGTTACTTCTGAGGTTAAAAATGTGTTATCTTCTTGAAAAAGATCATCTATCACAAGAAAATTGAGACATTTTTTTTTGTATTATCGGAAAAAAAATCTTTCTGATTTTTTGTTGTGTTATCTGCGGCTTTTTGTGCAAGGCCCTGAGGAATTATTGTTTGTATGGGGAATTTTTGCTAATAATTTTAGAAATAACTCCACATTGGAATAATAATCCATATAAGCCAAATCTTAATTTGGGATTTGAGCATAGTTAATTGATATGTGATTTGAGAATTATGTTTGGTTGTTGTAAAATGTAGATTATGCATCACCTTGATTAATGCTTCAAGAGGATTTTATTTTCTTTCGAAATTAATTAATTTCTTGATAATATATATTCCTTTTCCGGAAAGTTTGGTGGTATTAGAGGCGTTGGTTACGAAAATATTTGGAAAAATTTCATAGTATAGCAAATATATGTGTTAATGTATTTATTATATATAGTTATAGTTAAAATAATCATAATTTGCAGCTACACTAATTATTTAATAGCTATTATCCAATTTAGAAGTATATCGTCCAACAATTAATGTATTTCTAGGCTTAATTTTAGGCATTGAATTTATTTATCTTTCTTTCCTCTTCCGTCTCTCCAATGGTCCTAGAATATCCGGAATATTTTAAGTAACTAAGCATAATTAACTATCTATCCAATCCAAACTCACACAAAACATCATGCATTTACTTTCTCAAGCTCAATCTAAAGGTCGAGAAATCATAGCCTACTGCAAAGCAGATTACGCGCTCCAAATAACAAGTCTGGAGCTTTTTCTCTGTTGTATGACCTCCGAACGCTATCGAAAAATAGTATCACAATGTCGACATAGTCGTTTAGACACCAAAAACACATTAATTAGAGATGTATCAAAATTCGAGTCAAAATGGAAATGTGAGACTTACCCAGAAATTTAAAAATTGACTTGGTCAAAAGATCGGTTTAAGGTGTTCTACTAAACAAAATAAGGTGTTCCTCTTCTCACCTTCTCTCAAATGAAGTTATTATTTATACTAAATATATAAATAAACGATTGAACATTTCATACATAAATTGTGGATAAAATCCATGTTGAAAAATAGACAAAAATTAGGGGGAGGACCAAAAATGCACTAATATTGCAAACATGAGGGACTATTACTACTCCATGTGAAAACTCAAGAATGACTTTGGATCCTAATCCAAAGATAAGAGACTATTTTGGGCCTTTTCACCATTTGATATTCGATATTTCCCGAATACCAAATTATTTATTTAAGGGAAAACGACATTTTTAGTCCTTGTGTTAAGGCTATATTCTTATTTTAGTCCTTGTGTTATCTAACTTAACACTATTAACCTTCAATTATATCAAGTGAGTGATTTTTTATCCCTCAACTAACAGATCCAAAAAAAATTAACAGAGAGTTCACTGCTAAAAGGGGCAATTCGGGTATTTAAAAGTTATTGCTTGAGAAATAGAAAACTTTTTAAAAAAAATTATTCGCTGCATAACCTAGTTCAACCCTAGTTCTTCACAACGAAGAAGTCTCGATCTATTTGGTGTGGATGTGCAATGGAACTGCGTTCTAAAAGTGGGTTGAAATTCACTCCATCATGTGAGTACTCTTTTAAGTTGAATAGGCAAAGAAAAATATCTCAACAAATATACCAGAATACTTTGAATTGTTTTTCCTTAATGTTATGCAAATTATTTGTATATGTGAAAATATGATTCTAAATATATTATTTGTAAACTTCAAGCTACCAGAAGAACTCAATTTCAAATACCCTAAGGATCTGTATGGTAACACACCATATTCAATTTTGATTAGAAATTAAAAAAAATTGTTAGCATCATCAGAAGCACCACATAAATTCAATGTTCTCAATTATATCTTAGAATCTACACATCTTTAATTTATCTCGAAGAATTCCATTCAATTGTTATCAGTTTCAACAACAGTGATAATCTGAACTGAATGTATTACAAAATCAACTCTTCCAACGGATTACAAGTAAAATTGAAGCTTAAGGACACTTATAAGTATGGTAACATACAAATAATTAAAATGAAATACCCAAATTGTCCCTTTAGCAGTGAACTTTCTGTTAATTTTTTTTGGATCTGTTGAAGGATTAAAATCACTCACTTGATATAATTGAAGGTTAACAGTGCTAAGTTGGATAACACAAGGACTAAAATAAGAATATAGCCTTAACACAAGGACTAAAAGTGTCGTTTTCCCTTTATTTAATGAAGGTCATCTATCAACATATTCATTACTCATTAGTACAAGTTCAAAGAGAAAATTATAGAATAAGCATAAACAATCCAAATATATATGTTTTTTTATGTGTATCAATTTATTTTTCTTGATGTCTTCTCACTTGTCGATCCTCTATAATATTGTAGCTCTACATTAAAAAAATTAGAAATGATTGGAAAAATATTAGCAACTTTGTAATACCGTACCAAATCGAAGTTTAATTTACGGTCTACCAGTTTACCGAATCACAATTTAAAATTTTGATATTTAATATCTACTTTTAACTATCAATTACCCAATTATCAAATTCGAAAATTTGAATATGGAATAATAAACACATAGTAGGGAAATATAGGACGGTAAAGATTGCAGTTATTTCCCCTTCGAAAAAATTGGGATATTTGTTTTTAAATCAACCCGTCAATGGCTTCCTCGTGTGCTTTTGCTATTGTTCATCTTGAGGGCTGCTGCTATTGATTCGTGAGCCGAAAAAATGAAGTTGGCTCCAAGAGAAATAGAGAAATTGATGCTCCATAATGCTGGTTATCTTGCTCAAAAACGTCTTGCTCGAGCTCAACTTCTTAACTATACTGAAGCCGTTGCTCTTATTGCAACTCAGGTATCCTATTATCCAAACATTTTTTATTTATTTATGTTTTTGAATGAAATCGACGTGAATGATACAGAATTTGTATAGAGGATTGAGTATAGTTGATAGAAAATGTCACTTGTGTTATTTCCAATGATATGAGAATTTACAGAGCCGACTTCTATGGGATTGAGGTATGGTTGAATGATTGATTGATTCGGTTACCTTTTTTATTTGTAAATCTAATGGTAAAGGTTCTAATTTTTGAAATTGTGTTGACTTTCAGAATATATGGGGACTATATGATTCATCTACTATTTTATATGCTGATTATGCATAAAAAGTTGTAATATATTGTTGGAAGCTTATCTGTTATTGTGGCTTACTAGGTCTTAGAATTTGTCCGTGATGGAGATAAGAGTGTGGCTGAGCTGATGGATATCGGGAGACAATTACTTGGAAGGTATACTGCACATGACAGTAGATAGTATGTAGTTTAATGATCTTCTATGAGATTAATGCAACTCTTGCTATGTAAAGAAGAGCTTATAATTAATTGGAGAACAGATTGCAAACAGGCCGATTGCATTCTTCTCTATTTTATAGGGGTGTCATCAAGCGAAAAAAACACTTCAAAGTTCCACCTGTCCATGTAAGAAAGCAAACAGTGTGAACTGACACAGGAAAGAGGTCGCAGGAAATAGAATAATTTGAGCATAGCAGTATCGTATGCATCAGCATTCAGATTGTTAAGTGTGACTTCTTGCAGAAAGGCTTGTTTGGGGTGTATATTTCTTGGTAAAAGAACACGACTGCCTTGGCACCAGGAAGTAAAAAGTCATGCACCTAGAAAATGGAAGAAGGGAATCAATTAATAAACATGGATGATGTAAAGAGTGCATCGTAAGAACTGTGCATGTTAATCGATCGTAGGTGAAATCAATATGAGTGGACTGAAATGCCTCAAAGAAAAAATTAATTTGAATGACTGCATGCTTTTGATGAAGATCAATGGGCTTACAATTAACTTTTTTGTTGTCAGGAGACAAGTTCTTCCAACTGTTCCTCATCTGTTGGATTGTGTTCAGGTACTACAGATGTCCCATTTTCTCTGTCTTTGATGATTCTTGTTGTCATGTTCATCTTCAGTTCAAGGTAGTTGGTGACTATTTCAGTGGTAATGTAATTTAGGTAGAGGGGACGTTTCCAGATGGAACAAAATTAATCACCATCCATGACCCTATAGCATGTGAAAATGGGAATCTGGATCTAGCTCTGCATGGTTCTTTCCTTCCTGGTAATCATCTCATATACTGGTTTTAGTATCTTCAACTGTAATTTTCTTCATTTGCAAGAAGTGTGGTTTCACTCTTCTCTATAGAAATAAATCTTATGGAAGAGGTACTCTTTGTACATAAATTGTGTTGCAAACCTTATTTGACTAGTTAAAGAAAAAGGTTATATGACTAGAGTTTGAATATGGTGGAAGAATTATTTCACTTGTATGAATAAGGTCCTCTAAATTGAGTTTGATGCTTGCTGACACACAGGGCTCCATCGTTGATTTGAATTTCCCAGAGCTCATTTCTAATTGAATTTGGTGGGTATTCTGCCCTAATCTTAGAGTTTCTATTCACTGGCTCATCCCGCTGAATTCTCCGGCCACCCCCGTTCTGTCTCTCAGGACATGGTTTGGGAGGGCCTGACTGTCATCTAGAACAATTCTTACTGGAATAAGAATTTCCCTCCTTCTGCACTGTCATCTAGAACAATTCTTACTGGAATAAGAATTTCCCTCCTTCTGTGTGCAGAAATTTAGTGGTACTTCTTGCAAATAAAAATTCTGATCCTTTTAGACCCATATGATACCTAAACCTATGTGTACTTGTAGCGGCTTCATTTGAGCTACTCTTTGTAATCTCTGAGCAAGTTTTGCCATAACGTGATATCGCCACCGAACTCTGGTAATTTCAGGAATATATTTAGCATTATGCTGTTCTGGAAGTGAATTATATTCGATAAGAATCTATACTTTCACATACTTATTGTTTGAAAGGTATCATTTTGCAGTTCCTCCTCAGGAAAAGTTTCCGGTGATAGAAGATAGCAAAATTCCTGGCCAGATGTGCTTTGGAGGTGGACTTATTGTCCTTAATCCTCAAAGAAAGGCAGTAATTCTCAAAGTCACTAATACAGGTGACAGACCAATTCAGGTGCTTGTCTTTATTGAATTTCTTCCCTCCTTTATGCTTTACAACATTCCGCTACTTGACCCTGTAAGTCCACTCCTGACCCTCCTAAATGAATAATGAAAAGAAAAAAGTATGGAAAGATAGATAAGACAGTATTGGGAGAGAAATATTTGAGTGTCCTGTTAGATTCTTAGTTATGCCGAAGGTATCCTGCATGACTTACTAAAGTATAGAAGGGGACATAGCTAGTGTAGTGATACTACATCTGTTGCTGAAACGAGTTTCATATTATTTGACATAAGTTGTTAAGTTTTCTGCTTATTAGGTGACTATAAGTTGCTAACTTCTGGATCATGTGCTTAGCCTGTTCCAAGTGCATGATCATGTTTCTCTCTTAGAGATTTAGTATATTCAGTATCCAGATATACAATGGGGTTGACTGTCTTGAATGTATTTCTAATGAGTCAATCTGAAGCTCCCAATCCCTCTTATTTGAAATGAAAAATGCGGAAAAGAGGTAACTGTACCATAATATTTACAGGTTGGCAGCCACTACCACTTTATTGAGGTCAATCCATCCTTGATATTTGATCGAATGAAAGCACTTGGCATGCGTCTAAATATACCTGCAGGAGCAGCCACGAGATTTGAAGTAAGACTTCTGACCCTTTTAGCTTTGAAGCAACACTTAACTTCATCTATGTCTTGCTTTTGCAAGGATGGGAAAGTGTTGCAAAAGCAACAAACACATATCTTTCTTTTTCTGAAAATCTCTTCTGCCTGTAGTATTCACTTTTTTAATATGGAAATTTACATGGAATGGTGGAGTTACATACAACCATGCTTCTTGAGCTTGGTTCTGAATTAAGGTTTTCTTGAATTGGCCTGGGCATTGATTTGTGGGAGAGATTAATGCATTGGGGACATATTGCTTTATCAGGAACACTAAACGAAAAAAAGGGATGTGTACAGGAGTCAAGCCACTTGTCTTGTTTGTGATTAAGCATCTAAAGATAGAGTAAATGAGCTTGTTAGAGTGGGTTAGGGTCCCACATTGGTTGGGGAATGGACCGGTGGTTTGCTTATATGGACTTGGGCAATCCTTTCCCTCATGAGCTAGTTTTTGGGGTTGAGTTAGGCCCAAGTACCATATCTTACATGGTATCAAAGCCAAGTCCTTCCATGTCTGGGCCCCTATGTTATATTTTCCACGCTCCAATTGGGTCTTGGCGGTGTTAGAGTGGGTTAGAGCCTCAAATTGGTTGGGAAATGGACTAGTGGTCTGTTATATGGACTTGAACATTCTCCCCTCATGAGCTAGTTTTTGGGGTTGAGTTAGGCGGTTAGGCCCAAGTGTCATATCTTTACAAAGCTAATGGCTCCACATAGTAAATTTGTGGAGAAAGATACCTGTAAGAATAGGCTACCTACCTTTTATAGAGCATGTACCTGAGATGTCTAAAAAGCTAGTTTATGTTATAGTTTCATCGAATTTTTGATTTGGAACTAAAAAGCTCCTTGATGAAGAACAACAAATTGACATAATACCCCAGGTTAAAGTAGACTAAAAAGGCATCAATATTGAACAGAGAACTTGTCAAATATTTGATTGACAGAAAATTAACAGTATTGTTTGAGAGTAATTGGAGAAGATTCTTTCCATTGGATGTCCTTCCATTTCCAGTACTGGTTAGAAATGAAATAGCGTGCATAAATTAAGCAGTCACCTTTCCATGCTTAGATGCTTTTATATTTGCTCATCTCCAGTCATGTCCTTTATCTTGTGAAGTACTGGTGCTCAACTATGTTAATCAAATTTGACATTTCTCGTCCATTTCTGCTGGCTTATGATTGGAGTTGACAAATGTTCATCACTCTTTTAGCCAGGAGAAACAAGAAGTGTTGTTCTTATTGGGATTAGTGGAAAAAAAGTGATCAGAGGAGGTAATGCAATTGCTGATTGTCCAGTTGATGATGCAAAAGTTATGACATTAATGGGAGCTCTAAGTGAAGGAGGATTTGGTCATTTGGAAGAGCCAAATCCAAGGTCTGGTAGTATTGTTACACTAACTTTTTTCTCTTGGAACTTCCCTGAGAATTTTTGTTGCTTAATTAATGTAGCTGCGAGAAAAAGGGATATCTTAGCTTGAAAAATATTTTGCAGGGAAGGTGTTGTAGGAGAAGAATCTTGCTTTTCGTTTTCGATGACTCATGAGGAATATGCCAACATGTTTGGCCCCACTACTGGAGACAGAATACGTCTGGGTGACACTGACCTGTTTGCTGAAATTGAGAAAGACTTTGGTATCTTTGGTGATGAGTGCGTGTTTGGGGGTGGAAAAGTTCTAAGAGATGGAATGGGTCAGGCGTGTGGATATCCTCCAGCAGATTGTTTGGATACTGTTATAACAAATGCTGTAGTGATTGACTATACAGGAATTTTCAAGTGTGATATTGGAATTAAAGATGGTCATATTGTTTCCCTTTGTAAGGCAGGTAACCCAGATATCATGGATAGTGATGCGATAATTGGGGTAAGTCTGGAATATTATGATGATAAGTTGCCAGAAGGCACAAGAATGTGAAGCTAATGACTCGTGATCTTTCAGGTTAACACTGAGGTTATTGCAGGCGAAGGAATGATTGTAACAGCAGGAGCTATAGATTGTCATGTGCACTTTATATGCCCTCAACTGGCATATGAGGCAATATCAAGTGGTAAATTTTATAATTTATATTGTATTTTTAGAATTCCCTTCGAAAATTGCCAATACATATTTTTTGTTTTTACGTTTTTGTAGAATGTTTATGTAACAACTGTGTATAGCTAGATCTGTAAACAATAGGATACCCCATGCTCTTGTAGTGTTCCAAAATTATGTAATTAACTCCTGTCTTTGATAGGTACGATCACTACCAAACTGAGCATATTTTCTCTCTTGTTTGGTGTTCTTCTGGAGATTCAATTTGATCGAATGTTGGAGACTATTGTTGCTTTTTTTTTTCTCTCCCTTCCTTTTCTGTGTGATATGGTCTTAACTCACCTTCAGAAGAGACCTCAAAGATTTTGGCAGCTGTAAGTTATTATTCATCTGCAATGAAAAATGTACATATGCTGGGATGCAGTGTAAACGCTGATAGTCATTCTAAGTATGAGATTTAATGTTAGATGATGTTGGTTGGTTGATGCTCTACTTTTGGATTTAAGCTAATTATGAAAAAGGGTTAGTAATCCGAGGTTTTGGCAGTCCATCCATAAACTAATTTGTTTAACTGACTTAATATTGACGGAACCACATGCATTCGGATGCTATAAGGATCATTTTGTCATATGGGCAATCAGATCTGCAAGCTGAAGTAGACGAGGCTTTATATGAGCTGTTTTCCCAACAGGCTGAGTCTTAAGCTTGCTTTGTGTAGTTCTATAAGTGGCTTAATTTTATGTAAGACAAACTTAATCTATTGTGTTTTAGGAAAGAGGAGTGAAGTGATAGATTGCTAGTCTTTGTGTTTAACTTCTCGTCGTGTTTCCTTCTTTACGGCCCTTGTAGGAATCACTACAATGGTGGGAGGTGGTACAGGGCCTGCTCATGGGACACGTGCAACCACTTGTACACCGGGGCATGTGCACATGGAATTGATGTTGCAGTCAACAGACGAAATTCCCCTAAATTTTGGTTTCACTGGAAAAGTATACTTATTTGCTCGCTTGTTTTACTGATGAAAAAAATATGCTTATTTTCTGAGATTTACTGTAACAGGGTAACTGTGTGTAGCTTCAGATTTCCGAACCATGTTTCACTTGCTTGTAAGCTCAACTGGCATAACCTAGCACTTCACAGAGACAGAACCAGATGTCCTCACCCTTTTTGCTACTATTGGGACCAACAAATTGGAACAAAAGACCTTTGTTTCTGTGTTTGCTGTGTTGGGCATAAATAGATAATTTTATGCTGATTTCTATAGCGTAACACATTGGTGATTTCCAACTTGAAGTCCATAGGAAGATGTTTCTTCTTAAAACAATGTGGAATGCATGTTGTGGTGCATTTATTTCTTTGCCCAATTGTATAGCAGGTAGAGGAAGACCTACATTGGGATTAAGGGGGTCACTGGCACCCGTTAACTTTGGATTTTTTATATATATACAAGTGTATATACCTTATATATGGTCTATATTAGCTCTTGGGCACCCTAAACTATGATTGCTGTTTGGGGGCAATGGTCAAGGCCCCTGCCGGTGTGCTTTGAAAGCTGGATCTGAATCCTCTGAGCCTACAATGATGCACCTTATTCTTTTACGTTTTTGAGTTGAACAAATTCTATGGTTAAAAATGTCCTAGAAAAAAAAAAAGATTCAAGAATTGCGGCAAGCTGAATTCGAACTCAGAACCTTGTTAGGAAAATATAACAGAAAAAAACAACATATATATAGCATTGGGCCAGTGGCACCTAAGGGGCTCTTATTAACTTTAGTGCCATTTTAGTTGATATATTTGTTTGGTTTTGACCTTGGTGTGTAGGTGCCATTGCACCCCCTCCCTCTTTGATAGATTTGCACGCCAAAATTTTGTAGCTAGTAATTGGCATGATTGTGTTAAAGATAGTGGTGCGCACTTTGAGAATCCTGGGTTCGCCTGTGATTGCAGGGTAACAGTTCCAAGGCTGATGGCCTACATGATATAATCAAAGCTGGAGCAATGGGACTAAAGCTTCATGAGGACTGGGGAACTACTCCTGCTGCTATAGATATGTGCCTAACTGTTGCAGATCAATATGATATTCAGGTGCTCGTTCCGTTCAGAGTTTGCAGATTTAACCAAGTTTTACTAATTAAAAGGTGATTATGACTTCTGAAATGCAGGTCAACATCCATACTGACACCTTGAACGAATCTGGATTTGTTGAGCATACAATTGCTGCTTTTAAAGGTCGCACCATACATACATATCACAGGTAAACACTTACATACCTTCTCCCTCCAACTCTGAAGGAATACAGGAAAAAGAAGAAATAGAGAGCCAAGAATGACTAATTGAGAAAAAAAGATTTGAAAGCGCTGTTGCTTACCTGTAAGATCATTAAACAGAATTCTTCTATTTCATATCTGTAACATGTATTCTATAGTGAAGGTGCTGGTGGTGGACATGCTCCGGATATAATCAAAGTTTGTGGTGTAAAGAATGTAATTCCCTCATCAACCAATCCAACACGTCCATTCACTTTGAATACTGTGGACGAGCACCTTGACATGCTGGTAAGAGAAGCTTATATTGAGGTGAAGTTTCTATGCTCCTGAATAGTATATTGTCCTGATACCTCTACTTGCAGATGGTATGCCATCATCTTTGCAAGAACTCCCGAGAGGATGTAGCTTTTGCTGAATCCCGGATTCGGGCTGAAACAATTGCTGCAGAAGACATTTTGCATGATATGGGAGCAATTAGCATTATATCTTCTGATTCACAAGCCATGGGTCGAATTGGAGAGGTTTTCAGTAGTCTAATTTCCTATTAAATTTTTTGATTGAGAAACATCATATTGCAGGGAAACTTAACCAATTATATGATATTGCAGGCAAACTTAACCAATTATATGATATTGCAGGCAAATTAACCAATTATATGATATTGCAGGCAAAACTTAACCAATTATATGATATTGCAGGCAAACTTAACCAATTATATGATATTGCAGGCAAACTTAACCAATTATATGATATTGCAGGCAAAACTTAACCAATTATATTGATATTGCAGGCAAACTTAACCAATTATATTGATATTGCAGGCAAACTTAACCAATTATATGATATTGCAGGCAAAACTTAACCAATTATATGATATTGCAGGCAAACTTAACCAATTATTAGTTTTTTTCAGGCTATCATCTGTTAAGGGCCAGTAAACAGAATGACTGGTATTTGTATAATCACATCAGCTTACTGCAGTATGCTACTTCGACGTTCTGAACGTCTACCTACAATAGCCCAATTTTCTATTTATGTTGTTAGAATATTAAGTGAATATGTGTCGAGATTCATTGTATCATATAAGGAAAATCATATAGAATATTCTATAGGATACACTAGGATATTCTGAATCTAATTATAGAATATTTACTTACCTTTTAGCGTAGGAATTACTTACCTACACCATTTAATGTAGCCTAAGACTCCTATATAAGGAGCACCTCTTGTACACTATTAATCAAGTCAATGAGCTTCTTCTCTATTTTCACATGGTATCAGATTATTTCTATTTATGGTTTACCCAATATTGCCCCATATTATGTTGTCCATGCTCCAAATGTCCAATCCTGGCCCCTGGGTGGAGGGGGTGTTAAGTGTCTCACATTGGTAGATGAAATGGGTTGTAGTCTCCTTGTGTGGTCTTAGACAATCCTCACCTCTTGAGCTAACTTTGGGGATTGAGATAGACCCAAGGGCCATTTTATTATGGTACCAAAGTAGGTACAAGTCCTGGGTTTGAGTCTCACCACTACCACTATCAAAAAGAATTTCCACGTGCTTGAATCATCCAAAGTTCCAAACAATCAAGCCCACAAGTGAGGTGGCATGGTGAAGACATAATTAGGTAAATAAAACTGTACTGTTTTTAATAGTTTAAGCTTTTATGTGAGATGGTCAAAACACTTCAACATAGGTTATAGTATGTATCCTGCTATTATGATTAGGGCTTCCCAGGAAAGCAATATCTGTCCTTTCTTACTTGTTAGTTGATATAATCTATGTTGCTCGGACTCTTCAAAAATGTCAATGGGCACGTATCAGATTCATTAAATGTAGTGTATTTTTGGAAAATCCAATAAGGGTGTGGCATCAATAGTGAAGAGTCCGCACAACTTAGGATATAATAAGCTCATGTCATGATTAAGCCGAAAGTGCATATAAGAGAACTTTTTGTAAGACAAATCTCACTTACAATCCCATGTACCGGAAGTTCGGAACCTAATTAAGCTGAGGAAAATAAATGAAGAACTAGAGGTGCCATGCCATCAAATATATAGTATAATTTATTTCTTTTCTGTCTATTGTTATTTCTTGAAGGTGGAATATGGAAAAAGAAACTAATTGAGTAGGCCATATCCTAGACCTAACACCTGCAGTTGGCAGATTTTGATGGGAGACTGCAATTGTCCTTGTGCGAGGAACTTACATGCAGCAAGTAGTTTGGTCTGAAGGAGAAGCAGCGCCAAACTGATATCTCCTTCCAGCTCTCCTAAACTATTTTCTTTAGTTTTCCATCTGATAACACATGAAAAGACTCTTAAAACTGCTTTATCTCCTTTGTACATCGAGTGCCATCCTTCATAAAATCATAATAATAACTTGAGTGTCATCTTCTTAAAAGCTCAAGGGAGAGATTCAGAAGTATATGATAAAGTTTAACTCTGTTGTTATCAATAGATATGTGTATCTGCGGTGGGGTAGAAAAATGGACAGGGGATCGAATTGCAACAGGAGAATTTATGTTGTCTAGTCAATATGAAAATAGTAATTAATTGAGTAGTGTCAGGTTCTTCTGTTAGGCCTGTAATCAGCTACCTGCTGTGAGTTAGCACTGAATGTGATTGAGATGAATATATATGCTATGAAACTTGGCTGTATGATATAATATTGAACAGATACTTGTCTTACTAGGTGATCTGTAGAACATGGCAGACTGCCCACAAGATGAAGTTATTTAGAGGACCATTGGACATTGACGGATCAGACAATGACAATTTCCGGATCAAGCGATACATCGCAAAATACACTATAAATCCAGCAATTGCTAATGGGATCTCTCAATTTGTCGGATCAGTTGAGGTCTGTCCTTATCATCACTGTTCATCTCATGTTTGTTTAATTCTTCAACGATTGTTTTACCTTTGACTTTCAATACCAAATTCCAAATTCTCTGGAGAGATGCTTCTGTGATCCTATGAGTTGGACAAATTCTTCTGTGATTCTATGAATCAGACAAGTTTTTCTGTACTTCTTTTTAGACAGTGGGGTTGCTTATGATACATGGACTCTTCATTTACCTAGATGTATCGAAGGTGTATGACAAGGGTATGGATATATTTTCTGTAAGTCCTTCAAAATACTCCAAAATGCCTGTAAAAACATTGGACATGCCCACGTTAGATCCCATATACAAACCTAATATCTGAGTCTATGTAAAGTTTGGGGGGGGGGGGGGGAATTGACTAAATAAGGAAAAGATAGAGTTGAATTCATCTCGAAGGAGTACAAAGTAACACATTTAATATCATTTTTAGCATATAGCATAAAGCGCGAAAACCAAATCTCATCAATCACATATTAAGGAATTTTAGTACACTGAGTTTACTCCATTTCTTGAGATAAAGGAGACCCTTATAAGGCTTTTAAAATGTAGAATAAGTTAATATCTCCTCTATGGCGATGATTTTGGAGTAACTTAATTTGGTAAAATAAGGAAGCTTCTAGTCTTTTTGCCGATAGAATTTTGTCTTCGATTTTATCAGTATGCTGCAGGTATGGAAATGACAGACTTTTATCAGATCCTATGATGTGGACTCACATATACCTTTGTGTCATCAGTCAATGAAGATTTCTGTTCTTTTTTCTTTGTTTGGGAGGAGTCGACAATCTAAATGTGGTATCATCTGGCCTTATAAAAGTTGGGCTGATCAAAATATGCAGTTTTCAGGAGCTCTAGGTAAAAACTATTGATCTCATTTTAATCAAACAGAGAAAGCCAAGGAGTTGATTTGATTAGCTCGAAACAAAATCACAATAATATAAACAACATACCCAGTGGAAATCACAATAATATAAACCATGCTAGAAAACTTAAAGCACGTCTAGTTCAACTAATTTCTAGAAACTTGCGTTGTATAAAGCTATTAGAATCTTGAGAGGCGATTATTCTATCCTTTATCATTGTAGTGCTGAAGGCATTGTCCTCTGAAAAGTCTAGCACTTCAACTCTCATTGTCAAAGATTACAGTTTCATTTATTGGATGTCTTGCAGGTAGGGAAATTAGCTGATCTTGTGGTGTGGAAGCCCTCATTTTTCGGAGCGAAACCAGAAATGGTGATCAAAGGAGGCGTAATAGCTTGGTCAAACATGGGAGACCCAAATGCTAGTATCCCAACTCCTGAACCGGTAACTTTTTACATTGGTACTCTTTTTTATTCACAGTTTTTGCTTGTAACCAGCTATTGGGCATAAGTTCTTGCATCAAAGAGATCCAACATCGGAGTAATGTTTCTGAAACAACTGTATATTTTAATTCACTTTTTCAGCTTCATGTCTGAATCTTGAATTATTGCTTATGTTTTACTAATAGCCTCTGCCAGTTAAACCCTTATTCGGGTTTGTAATCCCCTTGAAGTCAGAGTTATCTGTATTTTCACTACTGAAGCACAAGTTGTCACAGGTGACAATGAGGCCTATGTTTGGAGCATTCTCCAAGGCTGCAAGTTCTAATTCAATTGCTTTTGTCAGCAAGGCATGTCTCTCTCTCTCTCTCTCTCCCTCTCTCTCTCTCTCTCTCTCACACACACACACACACAGCCCCAAAAGTGTGTGGACACTTTCTTATATATTTAGAAGTTGGGATTTACTTTGTATACACTAACAGGGTAAAGGTTGTTTGCATAACCTGTTAAAATTACTATCTACTCTATTTTAATTTCCAGGTTACAATATTAGACTTGCTAATAGCTACTTTACGTAACTTAACCTGATAAAATAATTATACAATGTCAGTCCACCATACTTAATAAGAGTCGACGTTGGGACAGTTAAAGTTTTAATGATGTTCTTGGTAGCCTTGCTAGACATAAGCTCTGCATCTACACAAAAATGGATCAAATAATTGGGGGGAAGTTGTACAAAATATGCTCTTAACTACTCTAAATGTAACAGGCAGCTTTGGATGCTGGAATAAAAGATTCATATAGACTAAACAAGAGGGTTGAAGCTGTAACTAATGTGAGAAATATCAGTAAACTAGATATGAAGCTCAATGATGCACTGCCTGACATCAAAGTCGATCCCGAGACATACACGGTGACTGCAGATGGAACAGCCCTTACATGCCCCCCGGCTACTACTGTACCACTCTCCAGGAACTATTTCCTCTTTTAGCAGTAACTAGTTGTACTCCAGTAGTTTTGGTTGTCCTCCAATTGGTTGTCTTATGTAGCTTGGCTGGTAGAATTTAATTTTCTAAAATTCCACAGTTTCTTTGGCTGCATAATTCCTATAGAGTGCAAGTGAGAGAACAATAAAAGAGTTGTAACCTTGAATAGCTTAAATGCTGTAGCACTGTCATACAGGATTCATACCTTATTTAAGAACTTAAATTCTCGTTTCTGTAATAAATTTTGCACATGATAGTATGTTTATACAACTTAAAATTCTGGTAGCATTGTCACGTTTTCGCCACAATATGTTCAATATGGTTGTAATTTAAAGGCACAAGTCATCAACGGTTACTTATTGTTCACATAATTCGTTTAGAAAGTTAGAGCTCTTAATGTTTCCATCTATGAAATTTGTGGGTTGAGAATATATATTCCATCTCTTTCCTAATATTCCTTTTACCATCACCTGAAAATATACATTAAAATTGTGTTTTTTTAGTTGTTGGGTGGGTTATATGAGTATATTTTGTACTTGAATTGCTTTAATTGATTTCATCATGGAAGAACCTTATTCGATATTATGTATATTCCTACTTATGATGAAAACTGTGTGTCAGCACTCATTTATATAGATAAGGGCTAATTAGAACTGCTAAATTAAACTAAAGAATTAGATTATACAACTGTTTGGACCAAACTTTATTGACTAAAGAATTCCACCTAGTTTTAATAAGAGGATTCTTTGCTTTATAGGATGCTAAAAATTAAATATTTTATGAATACTTCTTTCCCAAGTGTAAAATGTCCCTCATCAAGTTCTTGGATTTGAAAAAGTATTATGTGGGGATGAAATTTGTTGTAAGAAGGAATTCGATGAAGAGTAGAAGATGGAGAAGATATTAAGGTTTGGAGTGATCCTTAGATTCCTAATTCAATCGGTTTTAAACCCCTACAAGGACATACACAAATAAATCTAAAGTTGAGGGTAAGCGATCTTATAGATCAACACAATCATATATGGAATATTCAAGATCTTCATCACTAGTTTTACCCTAATGTTATCAACTCTATTTTGTCTATCTCAATATTTAGTATTGAAAATTATGATAAAATTATTTGACATTATACAATTTAGGAAATGATTATCATCTAGCGAAAAGTCTAGCTAATAGTATTGATTCTAGAAGTGAAAGACTTCAAGCCAATGGTCAGTCTTTTCAAGTCTTTGGATTTTTTTTTGTATTCACTTAAAATAAAAAAACAAATATAAACATTTTCTTATAAAATGCATTCTTAATGTCCTTCATGTTAATGTATATATTTCTAAGAGATCGCATCAAAACTATGATGTTTGCAGGGTCTATGATTTAGTACTGAAATAATTGATCATATATTTTTTAGTTGCCCGGAAGCTCAATTAGTGTGAAAGTTATCTTCCATCAACTGACCTAATTTAAAAGATGTTATGAATTTTTCAATATGGTAGAATGACTTATTTTGTAATACCTGTCAATATGAAGAATTTATTGAGCTACTAAGATAGAGTGTATTTCTTTTATGGCAAATGTGGAAAACGAGAAATTCGTTGTGCTTTAGTGGTGGTATATATGAACCTAATGACATAGTTAATAAGACTTTATTTGATTTACATGAATATAATGATGTTGTGCGAAATTCGGCAGCTTTGACTCCTATACATAATAAGATTTATGATGTAACTATTACTTTGCTCGAGATGGAATTGTTGTTTTAACAGATGTAGGTTTACAAAGAGGGAATAAAAAAGCAAGCATTGAAATGGTTGCTATGGATAGTTGTGGTTATTTGCTTCATGCCTTTTGACACTCTTGTTCAATTTGTAGGAAAATTCATAATTGCTGAAGCACTAGCTATTCGTGAGTCTGTGGAAAAAGCATTGCAAAAAAGTTGGTCAAAGGTTCACATACTATCATATGCAAAGAATATTGTACAAATGTTACAAAAGAATTTGTGATATCTTAGGAAATAGAGACTATTTGCGAGGATGTCTAGTGATTGATGAAGTCTTTTGAAGAAATCAAGATTATATATATTTCTCGAATATGAAATGTGTTAGCTCATAATCTAGCTAAATTCTCTATTTCATGTATAAATAGGATTTTTTGGGATTCTGCCTTCCCAAATTATGTTGTAACTAATACAATGATGTCTTATGAACATCTAAAACATATTTTAAAGTAATGCAATGAGATATTTCACTGATAATAAAATAAAATTCTATCTAGTTAAATCTAACCTACATCTCCTGGACCTAATTAAAAACTTAAAACATGAATATATTTTAAAAATATTTATCTATCATGGATTGGATGAACCATTACTTGACACTGAGAAACCTATTGATTTTCTAACTAATGATGGTATTTATGAGTCTGTTAACCTATTGATTCTGTTGATACAGAGGGTGAGTTATATATATATATATATATACTACCTTAAAAGCATGAACTCCCTAACCTTAATGTTAAATTACTATAATACCCCCAACTTAAAACACCTAATTTAGTATATATTCTATATTTAATATTATATTTATTTACGCTATATTATATTAAAAGCATACACCTTTTCATATTAATGGGTAGTGATTTTTCCGAAGGGTTGTGATTTTGTCACGACCCGAGTCTACACCCTGGACGTGGCCAGCACTCAAGAACCATTGCTGGTCCCCAAGCGAACCCTCATCCTGACTGACTACAAGCGGAAGACTAACTCAAGCATACAAAGCTTAAAACTGAATAAAAATTCATGAAAACTTAAATACAAGCTTTAACTCAAAAGAAAACTCTGAATAATATAATATATTCAACTCTCCCCAAAATGGGCAACTTAAGTCTTTAAAACATTTAACAAAATAAATGAACAGACTTCTGAAACTCTATTGTCTATCTATGAAGCCTCTAACTGACAAAGATGGAAGTCGGGGCAAGACCCACACGACCTCCTAGCAATTGATATAGATGAAAGTAAAAGTGGAACCCCCCGGAAGCAAAGAGGCTCACCATAGCTAACTCGAACTCTCGGATGTATCAACGAAGCTCCT